AGGTATTATCACGATATAATGGTGTAAACAATGAATATATTTTACATTTTTTCATAATATGAAAATTCGTTGATTATTTATAAAATATTATATATATTCTGAATAAAGGACATGGGTAGTTTGAAATCCTAGCTCCGCCACTGGTAACAGGCCACAGCAAAACAAGTTATCAGAAACCAAGACGAATAGACGATTAGAGGACCAGGGACCAGGGACGAAGCAGCCGCAACCAATTGTCGTCCTTCCTAAATCGTTTCTGTCTCCCCGTTCCAGTTTTTGTACTGTGGAAGCGAGGGTTCAAAAGCTTGGCATATTACCTACTTACTACCCAGTGGCAGTTTTACCGTCCATCCACCAACCCACCAAACTCTTCCCATATTCCATTTCCCACCAACCCCCATCACCAGTGGCGAAGGCAGCCCTATTGGGCATTGTCCCGGGACAGGGGTAAATTTTGGGAGGAAAAAAAATACTTCATATATGTTTATACGAAGGATGGAACACAACACCATTGTACTTCGTTACTATATCTCAACTCATTATTTATCATAAATTGACAATGAATTAATTATTATACAATAAACGAAGTCTCAATTTGAATAGATCTCTTTTCTTTATATGCCTATTCGATTATTTGCAAGCAATCTTGAAGAAGACCAGTGGCACCGCCGATTCCACTAGTTTTGACGGCAAGTGTCGATAAAATATTTTCAGCTTTGAGCTATCCGAAGAACAAACTTTGAAGTCGAACTCACGACCAGTTTACTAATGGTTGTTTAGTGAGATCCATTGAAAAGGACTTACTTAAGTGTGTAGAAAAAAAAATGTATTGTGTGTTTCTTCCGAATATGAAAACTCGTCATGGTTGTTTCTGAAAATACCGATTGTAATAATAATAATTTTTTATATATGAAAATAAATTATTTAGATATTATTAATTTAATTATATTCATTAAATATTTAATACGAAAAGAGAACGGCTAGTTTCAAATCCTGCCTCCGCCACTGCCAATCACCCGCCTCAAATCCCCCGAGATCCCACCACTTGTCTGTTTCTTTCACAATGGCTGCTTCTCTGCAAGCTGGTTCCACTTCTGGTATTGCCAGGAATCACACATTCCAGCGTCTTCATTCCGCTGCACCCTGCTATGGCAATTCCATTTCCTTCCTTCCCCAGCCACCGTCTCTCCATCTGAAGTAAGCGAAAACTCTCTTCATCTTGATTCCCTTCAATGCACTTCATTTTGAAAGCTTTGGATTTGGTGATATTTTTATGTATGGAAGAAAAGGGATTTGCTTTTTTTAGATTTTGAAGGCTTAGGGTTTGTAAGTTTCCAATTTCCTCGTTCCCACATAACAATTTGTTGGAAGAAAGAGGCTGGCAATCGGCAAATGAGTCTACCTCCGTGGCTTTGTGTATTTTGGTGCATCTAGTGAAAAATTTCCCACTGTACACATGTTTTTAAAAAAAATTCTCAAAATACACATGTTATGAAAAAAATTCCCAAACTACGCATGTTTGGGTCTTCACCGCGTCAGACTAAGGCGGTGATTGCTTCACCGCGTTAAACAAGGGCGGTGATTTTTGGATTGTGGAGCACAAAGTTATGGTCGTTCAAAGTTTGACGAAATCGAAAAAAGGCTCGTTCGGGGTAGCAAACGACGTTTTTTCGGGACGAAGGCGGGACCAAACCGCCTACGGCAGTTTGCGGCTTGCAAGATCTCGAAAAATTATGCGGAATCAAAAAAAATTTCATCACGATCGGATAACCGAGCAAAAAGTTACGTTTTTTTAAAGATTTGACGTAGGTCAGGCCTTCACCAGGCCTTCACCGTTTTCCTCTAACGCGGTGATGCATTCACCGCGTTTCTCTACAGCGGTGATGCAATCACCGTTTTTGTCTAAGGCGGTGATGCAATCACCGTTTTCGTCTAACGCGGTGATTCAATCACCGCCTTTGTCAGACGCGGTGAAGGCCCAAACATGCGTAGATTGGGAATTTTTTTCATAACATGTGTATTTTGAGAATTTTTTTTAAAAACATGTGTACAGTGGGATTTTTTCCGCATCTAGTTTGGTGGGTAGTGTTGCTTTTTAGTTGAGAAAAGCTTGGTGAAACTGGGGATCAATGTGGCCCACCATCTGTTTTCATATCTTGTCTTCTTTCTGAGGGGTTGAAAAACATATATTCATCCCAGCTTTTGAGGGTTACTTCTTGTTTCCTCTTCTGATCACTTGTAGTTCTTGATAGGTTAACTGGGACATCAAACTCAGTACGTTTCTCTACAATAAGTGCCATGGCTAAGTCTTCTGATACTGCCGCTGAAGTTGTGGAATTGGATATCTCATTGAGCCCCAGAGTGTATTCGGTAAAACCCTCAAAAACTGTGGCCATAACGGATCAGGCGACTGCTCTAGCAGAAGCTGGTGTTCCTGTGATTCGGTTGGCTGCTGGGGAACCCGATTTCGACACCCCAGCTGTAATTGCCGAGGTAATAATGGTCTTTCTCTTGTCAATGATCCCCTATCCATATTTTCTGTGGATTTCACTGATAAATTGAACCTACTTTCTTTCTTCTATGAAGGGCAGGCTGGCATTAATGCTATCCGTGAAGGTTACACTAGATACTCCCCTAATGCTGGCACACAGGAGCTGCGTGCTGCAATTTGTAAGAAGCTGAAAGGTGTGTGCTCATACTTATGCTTTCATGTATTACTGCAATCTGCTGCATAGATTTCAGCTTGTTAGTTTGTTTACATCTTTCAGAGGAGAACGGTCTATCTTATGCGCCTGACCAGGTTGTAGTTAGCAATGGAGCAAAGCAAAGTATCATTCAAGCTGTGCTTGCAGTTTGTTCCCCAGGGGATGAGGTAAAGTTCTTAATCAAACCCAAAACTGGTCTTGCTAGTGTGATTTAACTATAACCAGTTTGTACAACTAATTTCAGGTTGTCATCCCAGCACCATTCTGGGTCAGTTATCCAGAAATGGCGAGATTGGCTGATGCTGAACCTGTGATTGTTCCAACCTCTATCTCCGAGAACTTCCTTATGGATCCAAAAGTGCTGCAATCCAAACTTACCGAGAAGTCGAGACTTTTGATACTCTGCTCTCCATCGAACCCAACAGGATCTGTTTATCCCAGGGAATTGCTGGAAGAGATTGCCAAAATTGTAGCTAAACATCCCAGACTTCTGGTATGCTTGATCGGCCCACGATGTAATCCTCTCACTATTCATGTATACATGTGTTACATTTTAAATGTTTTGGTGATGAGTTTTAGGTTCTGTCCGATGAAATATATGAACACATTATCTACGAACCTTCCAAGCACACAAGCTTTGCATCTTTGCCAGGCATGTGGGAGAGGACTCTGACAGTAAACGGATTTTCCAAGGTAACCAGAAATGTGTCTGTATCCTCCATTTTGTGATTGCAGTCTTTTCTTTAAGACTGTTTTCAAAAGAAAGTCGAGGCCCTCAAGGCTCTGACTTTTAGAGATTGAAATTTGCAGGCTTTTGCCATGACTGGGTGGAGACTTGGATATATTGCTGGTCCTAAGCATTTCGTATCAGCATGTAACAAGATACAAAGCCAGGTATTGCACATTTCCAAGAATATGAAGACTTGTAACTTGTAAGTAATATCTACTTAAAATATTGAAAATGTTGCCCTGATATGCTATGAGGGCAATGTTCTATCTTGCCTAATTTGTCTATGCATTAATCATTGACCAGTGATGATTGCCTAATTTGTCTATGCATTATATCTTTTACGATTTACCAGATACCGCTTGAAATAAGTCACGTAACATGAAATTATGGAACATTTGGATCCTTGTGCTAAATACGGTCGTTGGAGCTTCAACAATCTCTTGCCTGAGCATTTGACATGCTGAACCTTCGTCCATGTTTCACCTCTACTACTTCTGAAATCATTCTAGGCATTGATCCTCAACATGTTAGTGCTCTAAGTGTCTACGATAAATTGTCAATTGGCAATCCAAACGTCAAAAAAGTATGTTTATTCCTATAAGTTCTCTTCTTTAAGCTACTGAAGAACTAAGCAGGTCTCTCATTATTTGCTGAAAAGCATTGAAAAGATAATTTAGACACCTACTTTCTCTATAAACTGTTACATTTGCAGTGTACTATTGTTCTTTTAGTTACAGTGATCTCTTTTTCAGTCAACTTCTGGGGCCAGCAGTATATCACAGAAAGCTGCAGTTGCTGCATTAGGACTAGGCTATGCCGGTGGGGAAGCAGTGGCTACTATGGTGAAAGCATTCAGGGAGCGTCGAGACGTCTTGGTTAAAAGCTTTGGAGAAATCAAAGGGGTCAAAATTTCTGAACCCCAGGTGAAAAATAAATTTCCTTTGCAGGGTGCATTCATATATAAACCCACATCCATATATAACTTCGAGATGGGCATTTCCTTTGCAGGGTGCATTCTATCTGTTCATAGATTTCAGCTCATACTACGGGTCAGTTGTTGAAGGTTTCGGTGAAATTGTGGACTCTGAATCCCTTTGTAGATACCTATTGGACAAAGCTCAGGTGAAAAATAAAAGCTGCTACCTCTATCAATGGTTTCTATGTCTCTATTGTGCTTCAATGGTGAGTTATCTTTTTCTTGTATAGGTTGCATTGGTCCCAGGAGTTGCATTTGGAGACGACACATGCATACGGATCTCGTATGCAGCATCCCTCCCCACATTGCAGGCAGCTGTGGAGAGGATGAAGAAGGCAATAGTCTCTCTCAGGCCTGCTGTTCCAGTTTGAGTATTTCCTGTATTTATATAATATTTGATAAAGTGAATATAAGTTGTTGGATCTCTTATGTGCATCTCTGTGTTACAAGTCTTGGAATTCCAAGTTAGGAGCAAAGCTTAACGGCACATTTTGATCTCACTTGAACCCCATTCTTCACTTTTTACCTCTACTATAAAAGAACTCTTTGATTAAAGAAGCAGAAAGGTTGAGGCACCCATAATATGTGCCATTCCAACATATGTTGAAGACAGTCGGCCTTCTGTTCAACATGACCCTATCTCAGTCCTTTTTACAGCGCTTGTCCATTGTCCTACTATAAAATTTCAAAGTGCACCTATGGAGGGATTCAAATGGCTAAATGCTCAAAATATGGAACAGGTTTTGCTGGTTTTGGGAAGCATTCAAAAGAGTGATAACTCCATTGAATGAAAACATAATCACAATCAAAATTTCCCAGCAATAAGTATCAAGGGACTCGTTCTATCATCCCAAGCTCCAACACCAGGTCTCTTTGGATGCAACCCAAACTCGAACCACTCTGTCCCTTTCCTTCATTGGCTTTTACTACAAAAACTGAGGGCAAACAAGTAAAAAAACCAACGACGAGGTAAGAATCTCTGTAGTGTGCAGAAAGGGTTGCAAAAGCTATAAATTCCTTTAGCTCACAACATAAAATAGAACTGCAATGAACAAAAAACAAGAGTTGTACCTATTTCATCTGTTCACTCTTGGGAAGCTAAAGATGCAGCATCTTTCAGACAAGACCTCATAATTTTCGCAAGCTTGGAGCAAGCATCGAGACACAGCTCCATAGCCTGCTAGCCAAGAAATACAAGTGTTGAAGGAAAACACATGTTGGAAGGTATGGACGCATTTAGAGCAATGAGTTTCCGTGTCTTGCACATACCTCATTAAGGTTTGCAGATGACCATTCCCCAGTAATGGTTAGCTGGGTAACCTTGTATCTTGATGGCATACAAGTCAGCATTAGGCTTCCATCTTGAGAGCTTTCCTCTTCTTGTACTGGATCAATCACTAGGTTCTTTTTACTGAGAGAGGCCTATAAAATAGAAACAGAAATCCAAATATAAGCCGGCAATGTGAAAAAATGACAGGAACTAGAAGAAAAGAACAAATAAAAGTCTGAAAAATCAACTACAAGCACCCAGATAAAAATTAGTGGAGAACTTCAGATAATGGTCCAAAGTGAATGGTTATGCCATAATGCATTGAGATGATGATGCTAATACAGCAATTGGAAAGTTGAAAACTGCTTACCACAGAAACTCCAGCAACAAGGTCATACATCATAATCCCTGCATCAGCTAGGGCAAGGCTTGCACAGGACACTACCACAGGAAGATCGCCTAGAAACCAAAATGACAAACTCATAAATGTCTCCACAGAATATCAGATCCCAAATCACTACACAAGTTTTCGTGCATCCTTTGCCAAAACAACAAGACAAATATGCCAAAGAGATTTGTTTTCTGGACCATTCAAGACGCAGATAGTGTTAATCTAAACAAGTTTTAAAGCTAAATATATAGCTGACTTACTGCCTCCAGACTCCAACACCAAAGCGAAAACATCTACTGTTGTCTTTGGAAAGGTTTCCAACAATATGGCACCTTCGAGAGCTTTATGAAGCATCAACGACAACTCTTTACAGTCTGCCTCCTACATAAAAATGAAAGAAGGATTTGCATATCAGATACAATATGGTTCATCGAAATTTCAATCCAAGCAATAAGAACGGATGTTATTATTTGATACCTGATTACGCACTGGGGTAGCAAATTTCGTGTAGCTAACGTTGCAATTTAACCGGCCCACATCACTATACATCATTGCCTTCTTGCTTTCTCTGGGTCCGAATCTGAATGCCGACAAGGAAAAGGAGAAGTCATATAGAGCTTGTTAGGAAGTGCATACCACAAGATAAACGACAATGGTCGCCCATATCTCCAGTCTTATACGCAAACAAAATGTTGAGATCGGGAAGATGACAAAACATAGAGATGATGGAAGGAGATAGGAAGTCCCTCTTCATCAAGTTACAGAATCACTAACAGGGTGTACCAGATATACTCACACAGAAACAATGACCTTTGTATTTCCAAACTCGGCATAGGCAGATCCAGCAGCAGCATTTACAGCAGCTGTCCTGAAAACTGGAAGACGAAATAGTTCATGCCATATTCAACTACAGCTGATTCACTATCCAATCATTGTAGTCCAACATACACAAACACAAGTACAAATATTCATATGTTGGCAGATAAAACAGGTGCCTAAATCCATTGACAAATCAAAACTGAAGACCCTCTTGATTTGTGAACTCAAGAGAACCTTCGCACTGGATCAAGAAGCTTCATGAACGCCAGGCAATAAATTCTGTAACAGTGCGTGGAGTCGACATTTATCTACATCAAAACGGTGACAGCAAAACATTCTCAATTGAGAACTGTTCAAAACCAAAAATCCCAACTAACAAAAGTACCAGGAAGACTATCAGAATGCATAAGGGCAATGGTTCAACTAAATCAACAGAACATCGTAGATTATAAACGTGCTCTTAACAATGAAGGGCAACTATTCACGAAATGCCCGCAGGCATTTCTGTTAAAACCACCCAAACAATTGGCTAAAAGTTCCCATGCATATGACTCTTTACAGCCAGAGAGAAGATAAATGGAAGAACTTTGAACACGGCTAAAAAAAACACTGATCAGTGATCACCCGCTAACCAAAATCCCAAAACAAAACATAAATCGGAAAAGATCTCGCAGATGGACTAAAAAGGAACTAAGCGTCGGAAGATATTCTTTCTTTTCAGGTGGCAAAGTAAACAAGAAGACGAAGAAAGGAGAAAGGGGGTTCATACATGCGGGGCGACATTGATGGAATCCACGGCTGTCGGGTCGGACCCAATCGACATCAGGCCGTGTTTTTTTCGAGGACGGCGTCGGAGAGTAGGTTGTAGTAATTGCGGGACTGGGTTTGGATGTCATTAGTGAGAAAGTGAAGAAAACCCTCTCTCTGAGCCCAAACTGGCAGAACTCGGAAGAAGGAGAAGAAGAACGGCGACGGGCGACGGGCGAAATCGGCGAACTTCCCGTTCCGCTAGAATTGGTCCGAGACTAGGTTTGTTGAGACGGCACCGTAGATGGGGAGAATGGGCTGAATTTTGTGTGAGAAAGGAATGGGCTTAAGAATCCAGTTAAGTCAGCAGAAGACTCAACACCCAATCTGGTTGCGTATAAGTTATAACAACTGAGGACTTGTTTGTAACGATTTAGAAGTATGATGAGAGACTCTGTTCGAATGACTTAATTGTTTGTATGATTAATTGTTGTGATCATTCAGCAATTAGCCAATTACTTGTATAAACAACCCAAGAAGTACTCTATAACGGTTATAGGGTGGCAATTGGTTTGCTTTGGTTATAACAGAAACCGTTTAGTCGGTCCTGGTTAATCGATAAACACTTTATGGTTAGTATTGAGTCGTTAACTGCATCGTTTATATTAATCGAGCTACTGTACTCCTTCTAAAGCCCTTTTCTTTGAAATTATTCTCATTTGAGAGCACTTCTACTATGCTATATAGTATTTATATAGTATTGGTGCTTTATTGTACAACTTAAAGTTGTACCATAACATTAAATGTATAAGTTTAGGTTGTACCATAAAGCAATTTGTATCATTATGTTATGGTACAACTTTACAACTTGAAGTTGTACCATCACATAAATGTACATGTTCAAGTTGTACCATAAAAGAATTAGTACAAAAAGTATAGGTACAATCTAAAGTTGTACCATAACGTAAATGTACAATTTTAAGTTGTACCATAAAGACAAAACCCTATAGCACCAATACTATATAGCATTGTAAAATTTCTCCTCATTTGAACCTAAGTCACTATTACAATTGTGGTAGGCAATGGATCTTGTAGGCCTTCAAACTTCTCATTATTTTCAACCTATGTTTGCAACTCATCGCGAGGCATATTATTTTCGGCTCTAACTAGGAGTATGGCCGTAATGGGTTAGTCGGTTAACTATTTGACCGATGTTTACTAACCGTTTAGCCATTCATTAGTAATAAGCTAAATCCGACTCCCGAAAACCAACCATTTACTATTTAATCGGTTATTGATGCATGTAACCGTTAACCACCGATTTCGATTTGATGATCGGATACACTTAACAGAATAACCGGCATGTGAACTAAGAAATAAATCATTATCACTTTTATCCTTTCTCCAAAGAAATAGGAGTCATCCAAACCTCCTCTGGTTGCCAAACTAGGGGAGCAAGCCACTGACCCCATGAACAACATGAGGAAAGCACCATGTAAGCATGGTTCAAAAATGCACGCTTAATCTTACGCTTAGACTCGCCTAGGCGTAAGGCAATGGCAAAACACCTCGCCTAGGGGTTTCACGCCTAGTTAGATACTGGAACACATCAATGGAGTAAGGCGATATCTAAAACTCTCCTAAACATAACTAGATGGAGCTAGCAAGTCAATATTAAAGGGGGATATTAACGTCAACTACGAAATCAATTTTTTATATCAATATTTTCAATAGCTCAAGAACTTTGTGAGCTATTGAGCTATGATTCTATAAATTCGTGAGTTATGTTCTTATCATTAAGTGTTGAGTAAGTTATTAAACATTTTAACTTAAGTGAGGAAGTGTTGTAGATTATTATTTCATTCATCATGCAGTGCAAATAACTATTTTTCTTCCAACGCCTAGGCACGCTTAGTCTACGCCTAGACAAACTAGGCACTAGACAAAGTCTCAATGCCCACCTTATGAGTTACGCCTAGCGCCTTCTTGAAACTTGATTATAAGTGTAGTAATTTCTACCATTACTAGGCCTCCTTGAACCTTGGTTATAAGTGTAGTAATTTCTACCATTACTGTTACTGACACAATACTATATGTTACTATTGCTATCTTCGTTTTTTTTTTCCAATGTTACTATTACTATCTATTGTAAAAAGGAAAAGTTAGCCATATATGTGTGCTTGGTTGAAAGTGGTTCGTTTACGCGTCTTTTCTCTTTTGATTCGAGACAGTACTCCTTATGTCCCATTAATAGTGTAATATCCTCTTGGGTTGCTCGACTTATCCAAGCCAAGCCTAATTTTGCCATAGTTGGGGCTCGATTCGTTAATATATTTTCAGATTCGAGCTCGGCTCGTATTCGTCACGAGATTTAATATGCAAGCTCGAGCTCTGCCCGTTTATGAAAATAAAAGTTCAAGCTCGGCTCGCCAAATATGTTTAACGAGCCCAAAATCGAGTTTAGCACATAAAATGTTAATTATAGCTCAAATCGAGCTAGAACTGAGCACAAAATATACATCAAACCTATAGCAAAGTCTAGCAAAATAAAACACAATATTTATCCCAATTTCAGTACATAAAATCCATGAACTCCAATCTTTTATGATGTCAAACCGTTAAATGAGCTTGTTCGCGAGCTTTCGAGCTGAACATGGTATGGCTCGAGTTCGCCTCGTTTAGTTAACGAGTTTGTTCGCGAGCCGGCTCGATTAAGATGAATCGAGTCTCGAACGAGTTTTTCTCAAGTCGAACGCCAAACCGTTCATGAGCGGTTTGATTCATTAACAGCCTATGAGTAGAACAGTCAAAGTCGTTTTTGTGGTGAAGTCAACTCCCTCCAAATGAAACAAAACGTATTGTTCCTGTCAGTCTGAGTTGTAATTTTCGTTCAGTTTAGTCTATGGTACGGTCGCTTTAGAAGAATTGTCATAATTAGTGAATGGTCGTTAGCTAATAGCTAGCTCATGATTTCTACTTACCATGGCCGTAGTAGTTAGCTACATGAGTTTGTGGAACGTTGAACATACGATTCAATAAAAATGTTCTTCGCATAGAAAAATTGACATATTTTCTATTGGGAATTTTATAAACTATTTGTTTTTCTTTTATGGTATAATTTCGAGTTATGCATTTGACTTTATGGTACTTCAGATTGTATCTATAGTATTCTTTTGGGGTTAAAGACACATTTGGTCACTGAGATTACAAAATCGGGACATGTTTAGTCACTTGAAAAAGTTAATATCAAATTTGGTCACTACAATTACTAAAACTGGACACATTTAGTCACTCGCCGTTAGTCTCCGTTCAACTCCGTTAATGAAGTCCGTTAAGTGCTGATGTGGCAAACAGAATTGCCTAATCAGCCGGATATAACCCAACAAAAATAAAACCCGACCCGCCACGTCATTAAAACCAACCCAACCCAACCCATGACCCAACCCCACCCAACCCTTCTTCCTCCTTCCTCCCACCTCGGCACCTCCCACCTCCTTCTTTCCCCAAAACCGCCGTCGCCGCCGCTTTCCTCCTTCCTCCCACCTCCTCCCGCAAACCTGTTCGACCTAACCCAGCAGACCAATCCTTCACCATCCCTCACCAAATCTGTTCGTCTGCTATGATTTAGGACGAGTGCAGTACTATTTTCTTTTATTCTTAATTCGTGGAATCAAGTTTGACAAGGGTTTCCTGTGATGATTCCGTTTTCTGATTCTCTCAATGTTTGCTGCTGTTAATTGACATCGTGTCTTGTGATTACTTCCAGGGTTAAGAGGCTGACATAAAGTTCGGAAAAAGTGGCTGTTGGACTCCTATCTGGTGTGGTCAAAGTTTCTGGTTTCTTTACAAGTCCCATTGTCAACTCTAAAGCAGGGAAGAAGTTTTTCAGTCTTTTGCCTGGAGAAATCGTCCTTGCTTCATTGGATGGATTCAGTAAGTTCTCGATTCACCTTGGAATTATTATTTGGGACGGAGATGCTTATAAGCACTTTATTCGGCTGGATCAATATGAAATCTACAGTTGCTGACTGTTGACTTTGAAACTGTTATTCCTCTAACGCGAACAGATTTGGTGAGGGATGGTGAAGGATAGGTCTGCTGGGTTAGGTCGAACAGGTTTGCGGGAGGAGGTGGGAGGAAGGAGGAGAGCGGCGGCGGCGGCGGTTTTGGGGAAAGAAGGAGGTGGGAGGTGCCGAGGTGGGAGGAAGAAGGGTTGGGTGGGGTTGGGTCATGGGTTGGGTTGGTTTTAATGACGTGGCGGGTTATAATGACGTGGCGGGTCGGGTTTTATTTTTGTTGGGTTATATCCGGCTGATTAGGAAATTCTATTTGCCACATCAGAACTTAACGGACTTCATTAACGGAGTTGGACGGAGACGAACGGCAAGTGACTAAATGTGTCCAGTTTTAGTAATTGTAGTGACCAAATTTGATATTAACTTTTTCTAGTGACTAAACATGTCTCGATTTTGTAATCTCAGTGACCAAATGTGTCTTTAACCCTACTCTTTTGTATAGATCTCTTTATGGTACAAACTAAAATTCTATCTTTATGTTTTTGTACAATTGAAGTTATACTATAATATAAATTTACAAATTCTCTTATGATACGATACAACTTCAATTTGTACATTAGACGTTAAGATACAACTTCAAATTGCACTTTAAAGCATAAATACTTTAAAGAATAGTAGAATGGCTCATTGTCTATGGTGTGGCTAAACATAAAAAGAATCATCGATGCAACTCATATTGTTTGACAACTCGACAGTATTCAAGAAAGAAAAAAAAAGATTTACCGAGATTCAGAGGTCTAGGTGTAGGGTGTGAAATCCATAGTTATAACGAGCAACTAAATCTGGACCATTGGTCTTTAGTAGAACCAAATCTAAAAGGTCAAATTG